GGTCGTCCCTGAAAAGGCCCCCACAAAAAAAAAAAAAAAAAAAAAAAAAAAGCAGCTCTTGAAGGGCCAGAACCCACACAGGCAAAGGCCTTGCTGGCTGTGAGGGAACAGAGAGGGACCATTTTGTCTTTGGTGCAATAAATGCCATTTAGAGAAGCAGCCACTGAGAGACCTGTCCTGGTGCAGAAGTGGGTGGGTGGGTGCCCAGAGCAGCAAGACAAGGCTCTTCACCCCGATCCACTTTGGTGACAGGAGGGAAGCCTGCTTTTGAGATTTGTCCCTGGCCAAACATGAGCGAGGGACATTTAACGGGCCTGCTGGGAGGTGATGCAGCCCAAGGCAGGAGCTCATATCATACCACTGGCTTTATCAGCCTCTTCGTGGAAGGATGCAAAAATCAAACCACCCCACTCACTCGGCAAGCACTGCACTGGCACAGACGTCCTCCTCCGCAGTGGTCTCCAGAAAAATGCTTTCATGTGGTGTCAGAAACAAGGATGCCTCTGAGGGTTCAGGATCTTGCTTGTCAAGAAGCATCTGATTCGCGCTTTACCTGTGAAATACAGAGATATTTATCACAAGTGCGAACATGTTTAGTGTTTGCGGAAACAGATATTCATGAAAGAACATATTTAAACTCCTGGTGCTTTTTCTTTTTATCAGCTGTCCAAAGTATGCAGAGTTTGTTCTGAAGCAGGGTAATATATTATAATAGTAATTCCAACCTCTTTAAAAAGTAATCCAGCAGGACAACAAATAACAACGTTATTTTGAAATATACTCAGGAAACAATCCCTTACTGCAAGGCTGGTATTCTGCTGTCATCTAGAGGGAGAGGGTGGAATCACCCCCCCCAGGTCATTTCCCGCTCATTTTTTCACCACAGAACTTCACCCTGCACCCTGCCGACCAAGCTCACTAATTTACACTACCCATGTGCTCGCCTGCGTGTGTCAGTGTATCCTCACCTATCCACATTTGAAGGAAAAGAAAGCAGAAGTGCTAAGAATTAACAGCAGCAACAGCTCCATTCCCACAGGCTGCTATGCAGCAGCTTATCTGTCCCTAATTCTTTTTGTAGCCTTATGACCAGGAACTTCTCTGCCAATTCGACACTGATAAGGAAAAATGTAAACTTTTTCTTAAAAGCAAGGAGAGAATTACTGTCTGGGAAAACCAAAACTGGTAAATCAGTCTACAAGTGCAACAAGATTTTTTAAAAATATTGTAGATTTTGGAAACAGAGATCAGATCACATTAATTGCACTTACAGAAAAGAAAAAAAAAAGGGAAGAATTGGTTGGGGTTTTTGATTCAGTACAGATGAAGATCAGTAACAGTTAAGTATGTTTACGTTATCTGATATCTTGAATTTCATTTTGCATATAATATTACTGTGGAATACTACAATAATTGGATGGGGATCTTCTAAGCAACTCCTAGCTGCTTCACAAAACACTGATGATTCAACCGATGCTTATGGATTATGTCGATCCAGGGCACAGTGGCAACTTGTCTAGCCCTGGGCAGACAGACAGACCACGCACTGAGCCGTTCCTCGGTACCTACACAGAACATCTGGCCAGATGTGAATTGATCTGCCCCTATGCAAAACACCGGGTTTTGCATGCCCCAGCTATAGCCCCTCTGAAGAGTCTGGGGCTGCCAAGAAAGCACGAAATAAATCATCTCCATTTTCACTGCTAGAGTTGACCAACCCACGACTGCAAGCTGACATTTCCCATG